TTTATGATATATAATATACATTTATATTCACATACTGTACATATGCGCACATAAGTGCATAGACACATTATCTTCCTGAAAAGCGGAAAAAGAGAAATGACAAAAAAAGAAGAAAGAGATTACGTAATTATTTGTCATAAAATCGAAGCAATTCTCCCCAGAAGTATAGCTGGCAAAATATCTCATTTATACTTTCCATCTGCATTCCTAACTGATTGCCAAAAAAGTTTTTTTCAACATCTATCGATTCCTTTTTTTTTGCAAGAAAAAATTATTTTGCTTACTCCGTTTTCTTTCTCGCCGTTCCTTAACTCCTCAATTTTTCACTAGTCCTCCCTCACTTGCCCCATCTTTCGGAAAACAAAAATGACCTACAAAGCGATTAAAAAGAAAGAAAGAAGCCTCTAAAATCTTGATCTCAACTCGGTGAGCAAATTCTTTTTAGTGATACATTTAGAAGTCTTTGGAACCGTTTTTGAAGGTATCTCGCTCCCTACTTTCAACGACTTTAATCCTTCACATTTGATACTTATCTTCTCCGACAGCGGCTTTAAAGACTGATGATTAAATCCGCTACATATAACATTGATAATCTCAAAAAGAGCTAAATTATCAGCAATTTTTTTTTGAACCACCTTGACGACCAAAAAGTTTCATGTAAAATGACGGCCATTATAAAAACAAGGAAATATTCTATCAAATATCTTAAGCAGCATCAAGAAAAGGTCAGCTTTTTTAATAAAATCTATACGGGTACGATAAGAAAACTTTTTTGTGATATCTTTCCCAAAAAACCCGTCTATATTCATCCAACCCTTGGAAGTTTCCACAGCGGTAGTATAATATATGTATAAGCTCCTTCAGTGTGTTTTAATATTATAAAAGGAAAATTTTGTTTTCATGTTCTTCAAGGATTGAAAATTAAGGGGAAGGTGTCCTAAAACCCAGCAAAGTTATTGTTGCAGGTAATGGATTTTAAAACTTATTTTACTTACCTGACAATGCCACAATGATGCAGGCTTTAAGATGGCAGAAACAGAATTAAAAACTTACAACATCATCTAGTCAACAAACGAAAAGGAAACTGCTGAACAAAAAAGTAATGTAGTTCTAAAACCACACTTTCACTTCCAACTGCGTTGCCCAAACGACAATGTCGATAAACAAGAGCAGAACAATTCAAACGAAACAACTTAATAGACGTGAGAAATGGACAGCAAAATCTTTAAAAAGCACTACCTTTTTCCATCTATTTTTCCTTTACCTTTTAACTCTTGTCTTGTTTTGAGAGCACCAGACCACAAACGACCTGTTAACTGTTTTTTAGAAGGTCTTTAACAGAAAAGCAATTGTTCAAAACAAATATGTAACATTTAAAATTAAAATAATGAAACTCTTCTAAAAGGATAAGCTAAATCTCTTCTCAAATCAAAACCATTAATTGCTGACCAAAAAGTTCCTCAAATCTTTGCATTTGTAGGCAACTTCAGTATAATCTTCCATTAAAATCTATACTGAAGTGCTGGAAGATAAGATATGTTTGTATTTCAACTAAGCCTAAAACTGATTTTACTAAGCACATCACTGGATCTTAGATTCTGTGGGTCCTTCCCTTCTCTTCTTTTTTTTTCTTGTTAAGTTAAGACTTCAAAGTGTCATTATTAAAAAAAAACCAATGTAAAGGTCAAATTTCTGCTTTGTAAACAATAAAAAAAATTTGCTCCATGAAAACGAATTTAGGTACTTGAAACCAAGTGTCGAGCGATGTTCATAAGATTTCTGCAGTTTATTGAACTTCACTACCGTACAAGTTTACCGTACTGCTTTGGCTTTAAAAATATGTAGCCCTTCATCAGCAACAATCAGAAATCAGTTTACTTCAGCCCCCAACATCTACTGCCACAAGCTAACTTGTCAGCATCAATATCGATGCTTTCAGATCATAAAAAACAGCATTATAGTTTTGCTTTAAAAAATGGTTCAATCAACGCTGCTATTGATTTATATCATCATTTTATCCAACGAGTACTCAATCAATTATCATACACAGCTATAACAGCAATTCAAAACCATTCAGCAGACTGCGTAACGCTTTAAAAAGCTGCCAAAAACAAAACTCAATCCATCCTTCGTCTTCAAAACACAATCTTTCAAATCCGTTGATATGCACCTGTCCTCGGTCTCTTTCCTTCTTCTCCCACCCCCATACTTTTAGTCACTGCATTAAGCCCATCATTTCTAGTAATTGTATCCAGCTGCTGCTTGCAAACGCAATCTATTTTTTTTTGCAGTTTAAATTAAAAAGAGAAAAGGAATAAGAAATGTTTAAGGGCCATAATTGCTTTTATCTGAATAGGAAATAAACAGTATATTTGAAAAACAGTGGAAAACGAATTGCAATTATAAAAATGGAGAAAAAGAACAGTAAACTAACTAGGCAGACAATTAAAGTTTTTCAACAGTTTGTCATAAATTCTCCGCCACAAAGCATCAAAATTTCTTCCAAAACTCGGTGCTGACAAAATTACTTGAAAAAAAAATTTTTCCCCACATCCAAATACGACGGTACACATCACAAAAAAAAAAATAAATAAATAAAGACTTCTATCTGGACAACATCTAATTGAGCATCTAGACCAACCCCCGCCCCTCATGACATCGTCACCCTCACTAAAAACACTGTGCATTTTTTGAACGTTTTTTTTCTACTTTGTATGTTCCGTCACAGATAATATATTCATGTCCAAATTAACCCAAATTAAAAAATTACCCTTTAATGTTTATTTGCTTATAATTGGTTCTCCACTACTTTTTATTTTTCAGGATGAAGAGCTAATTGCTATGACTTTACAATGGCCATGGCACAACTTGAACAAATGGCACAAAAATGAGACATACGAACGATTTTTTAAACGTCAAATCGCTAACACAGTCAGCCGATACTGTGAGAAGCAAGCGAACAAATGTCAAGGAACATACCTACGGATTGACGAAGTAATCAGATTCATCATTACATTTTTTCATCAGAAAAATAGATTTAAATAGATACCACTAGTAGAATTTTCTTAAATGAATCACTTGTTTCATGACGTAACTATGTTCTGGTGTCTAAAAAACTAAAACAAATAAAATAGAAAAAAGAATTAAAAACTTTTACTGCAAAAAAGGCGAGTTTTTGTAAAATGTACATGTCAAAATACTGTTGCTCCATAATCTAAATACAAAAAGAATAATTCCTGATGTTAAAGTGGTCATAGGCCCTGTAACTACCTAACGCATTGCCCAAACAATAACTCATTAAGCAAAATACTAAAACATCTCAGAATTTTCTTCAGCCGTCCTCGTCTTTTTTTTCAACAGAGGATAAAAAAGAGAATTATTAAAAAGCAAACCGTAATGACAATCCCTCCAAACAAAAAAACGCAACTTTCTTCTCAATTTTTCACTTCACTGACCACAAAATCAAAACTTATATTTAGTCTCTGTTCTTTTTTTCAGGAAAATATTATCATCCTAAAAGTTGAACAAATCCGTAATCGAAAAATGAATATCACTTTTGTTGTTGCCAAAGACGCACATCTGCGAGAGTTAACGGCAAAACGCATCATGAATTCAACAAGAATTAGAGCCTTATTGATACAAAGGAAAAATGACCTGAAGAACGCTTTTAGTGGTGTCACTATGAACAGCTCAACAATATCATTAACCAAACTGCAAAATAAAATTGAAGATAACACCAGACTTCTGACTCTCGTTGGACTAGTTGGTTTCTTCTTTACAGTTACCTACATTATTGCTGCTGTAAAAGTCTGCAGGTAACGTTTTTTATTTCAAGCAATGAACAGTTGAAACTGAAGAATCATTTAAGTTAAATTTCATTAAATCAGTGCGATTTTCTTAAAATCCTCTGTTTACAAGTTTGATATAGGTTAATAAAGCAAGAGTTTTGTTTTTGAGCCTTCACAGATCATAATTACTAACTTCAGAGACCATTACTACAAGAAACAAGCAAAAAGGCGTGGAACAAACCGGACAGTGGTGGAAAACAACGTACCCGATTATGGAAGCTGCGAAAAAACGCCCAGAATGAAAACGCAGAACAACACGGACGGTAGAAACCAGAGATTACAGAGTAATTCTCCTGGAATGCTTGACCTCGCTGTTCATATCGCTGAATCTTCTCCCTCTCCAGTAGATGAAAGAAGCATCCAGAGAATGTTTGAATGCGACCCGTCACAGCTGCCAGCGGAGCAACCGCAATGGTCCCGCAACTCGTCACTAGACAATTCTCCCCCAAGAACAAACAATGAGCCAGATGACAAATATAAGCAAAATCCAGGACCAAAAGCATCTGTAGAGGAATACAAAGCAACAGGCACTGAAACTGCGAATACAGAAGAAAAAAACCAACCCCAAAAAAGCGAAAGAATTACCGGTGAACAAGAAGAGATTCATAATAATAAATATAAACCCACAGAAGATTTTCAATCTAAAATGCTAACAGAACCACGAGTTATACGGTCAAAGACTGCACACGAAATAGGCAACTGGTCAAGTGAGAGTGAAGACGAACAAAATGACGTTTACTATAGGCTTTCTGAAGCAGACGACGATGAATCAAGGCAAACTGATAACCCTAAAGTAACAAAAAATTCAGATGATGAAGAAGATATTGAAAAAATTGAACCAGATTCTAGTTTTGAAACTAGTCATTTATATCAACGTCTAGAAGAATCACCTACACCAAGTCCTAATAATCCAGAATCGACAACTCTGGTGTAGAAACCAGACCTGTCAAAAAAGAACAATCTTGCAACTTTAAAAAGCAGGATTACAAGATATATCGCCGTGCGAAAATCGAATTCTTGTTAAGTTTTGAAGTTCCAGCACTCCCAAATAAATTCCCAATAAACCACGCACCTAAAAACTCAAAGTCCTAGGTTGGAAGAATATCTTTCGTCGAAAACCTAATTGATAACGTCTACCCGTATGGATCGAACTGCCAGACGACTGCTTCGGGTAAAACCAGTATACTTAGAAATTGCTTAGTTTTTATTTTTAACTGATGAAATCTATTTTTTAAAGGCAGAGTAGAGCTTAACTAGTCGAAAAAGCCCACAAGTATCATCACTGCCTTCTTCAAAATATGCAACAATACTGTGCCGCTCAATTCATTTTTGTCTCTTGTTATTTGTAAAAATTTTGAATACAAATAAACAGTCGAAGAGTTTATAAACAGATACAACATTAGAGCACTAGATAACGTCATGTAGTGTCTTGCAAATGAAAAGCAAAATATTATAAAACAAAAAAAAGAGGGAAAGAAATAAAAATAAAAAGTCCAAGGCACGCCGGCCCTTTAAAAGACGTTTAATCCTTATGAACAAGGTTATATGGATTGGATATTTCTCTTTTAAACACTTCAAAAAACTTGACTAAATGCGATGTCATTTAAGCAGGCAAGCAAAAATATCCAAAGAATAGAAGAAATCACAAATAAAGACTAAATGAGATTATTACTGCCACTGTTGCCGCAGTTAAAGCACAAGACAAAAAGAATTAGTCGCTCCGTTCGGTTACAAACGTTTAATTTAAGTTATATGTCAGTAGAACTTCTAAAGAGCCGTTTTCAAACACGATGACTGGATGAAAAGTTCTGGTTATGCATAGTTAATGCTAAGCAAAATAACAGTGAGGTAGAACCTGTGAAAGGTCATATCACTGTAAAAAACAGGTACTGATCGCCTTCATCAATGCATTGAAATGCTATAACTCACGGTGTTAAAAAAGATCAAGATTAATAAGCTGGAGAAAAATTTTAGGATTTTCCGTAATTAGTAAGACCTGGTGATTCTTATATTTCACCTTGAATGAACTCAATTCAAGCAACCCAAAAGCCATCTAATTGTGAGAAATGCTGAAACAACTAGTCCATTAAAATCTTAAAACAGACCAACTTGTTAAAAAATGACAACTCGCAAGCTTAAAAATTAAGACAAATGAGACCAGAACAGAAAGAGGCATAAATCTGATTGAAGTTTTCAACTGAAAAAAAAGAAGAGGAACGAGAGTGAACCAAAAAATAAAATAAAAAGAGAATTAGAAACGAATGTAAACCAAAAACCTTACCAACAAACCCAATTCGAGCATCACCTGTCTTGGCAACATCAAATCCCTCACCAGCACCACCACCTCCACCTTTCGGTGTTATGAGCTCTCTACGCAGTTTCGCGATACGTGCTTTCAACATGCCTAGATGCCCCATAGTCGCTTTATTTTTCTGAGTCCGAGCCATCTGCAAAAGACTTAATCGAGAGAACTTATAATCGCTGTTAAAAGTAAAGATTTGGTAAAACTATGAGGCAAAAGTTACGTTTCCAAAAAATAAAAATAAAAGAAAACCTTCATAAGAAAGTGCAATAAAAGTAAGAAGATTTTTTGGTTGTATTACTTGCGTTTTTACTAGAAAAATCAATCTACACCAAAAATTGTTCGGGAATAATTCCCTAAAAAATACCTCGGCCTCTATTTCAGCTATCTTCGCCAGTATAGACATCTTTGGTATAAGCAGGACAGGGACACCTACAAAAAAAAAATATTTCATTTTGGAAAAGAAATTGTAAAGCTTACTGGTTAAAACTATTACAAGGCAAAATATAAGCTTTAAAAACAAAAATAAACAATCAACAGATCATATAAATTTTCAACCAATTCAGAAGCAGAATAGAATTTAAGATGAGTCGGACAGAAAAAACAACATAGAACCGAGCAAAACCTGCAACTGCTTTCGGCAATAGCAAATTTATTTTCAAAAAACTATTGTGCTGCTTTACTCCTCCATTGGCAAACTTCCAACCATTCCTTCTTAATGGAGACGTGAATTTCGGGACTAAGATCTAAGCTCGTACGAACCAAAAGAATCGCTACTGAGCGCAGAGTCAGCTTATGAATGTTTTCCAGAGATAATACTATGAAAAACTTTTAGATGGAGTTTTGTTTCTTTAGGTGTAATAATAAAGGTGTTCTTTTAGGAATTCAAATGTTATAGGAAGTCTCTTTTCTCGTGAATTACGTTATGGATCATGTTTCCATGAAACAAAAAAAAATCTTTGTTCTAGCTGTGAACTACCAGTGTCATAAGTTTTCATCGGTTCCACGTCAATAAGCAGTCTTCAAACGGGCGACTGGAAATTGTTACTGTCTGACATTATGCGTCTAACTGAACTGTACTATGCATACTGATCTGCTAAATTTCTGATGTTATCAGTTATGCTTTTTGGTGTCTCTACATAGAATATTTTTGATCTGTCATAATTTTGCTGGACTTTTGTTTCCTTTCATTCCAAATTTATTATATTATTCATGTTTTTTGTTTACTTATTCTGTTAACTTATGGAAGTCTTTTAAGAATGGAACAAGTTGGTCGGAAATTGCAGAAATGATCTTTTCCTGTAGCTTTACTGATAATTGCCAAAAAATCTGTCAGCGATTAATACTTTTTTGGTTTCAAAAAGGCGTTTTCGGTTTTGTCTTATGATTTTAACCGAGTACCTAGCAAGCGACGTCAGGCTGAAAATCTTTTTTAAACATTGCTTTAGTTCTAATTATGTCTGTCAAGGAAGCTTCTGATAGCGAAGACGATGACTTTTTCCAAAACCCGTTGAAGCGTTTGAAACGAAAAGCTGATGCCGTTCATAAATCCACCCCGAAATCTCAATTTTTAAGAGGTATTTTGTAAGGCTGCTACATTAAGACTGCTGGAAAATGTTTTCTTTTAACTTTTCTTTTTTTCTTGGGCAATTCTCTTTTGCAACATTTCCTTCAGCTGCTTCTGTAAGTTAAGATAACTGTTCCTTCAGGACTTGTATAAAGATTTCTGATCTTGATTGAAGTAAAATTGATTGATAAAGCACCTTTGCGATGTATCTGCGTTTCTCTGCATTAAAAAATGTCAAACTCTGAAGGTTTTCTTAAAAGAGCAGTCGTTTAGGTGTTTTTTGTCTGTCAAGGAGGTAAGACATTTTCATTTGAGTTTCGCATCGTATTTAAACAACGGCAAAATGACGTTATTTCTTTGAGGGAATTAGCTGTGAAAGGTTGAATCATTTTTTTTTTTGCTCAAATCGGCATTCATTGATGTCGCGTAATTAATAAATTATATTTCAGTCCCAAACACTTGCAGAGTGCAGAGGGTAGAACAGGACGATGAACTTGACCCTGTAGGTATGGTCTGCTTTTCTTTTATCCTGTGGCAAAACGTAACACATTAAATATCTTTAGTTTTTGTATTAAACGTCACGAAATCTGTTTTGCGTGAAGTGCATCAATTTTTGGAAAACTGCTATTTAATTGAGGTGGTAGTGACGATGATAGTGAAGATGTTGTCCAGAAACTGTTGAAGCAAAAGAAACCTAAAAAAGAAGTCGACTGTTTAAAAGAAGTTGAAGAACTTATAAACAGCACGAAGCCCAAAAATATGCCTTCTCATTCTGTGGTACAACTTAGTGAAGAAGAAGAAGAAATCGAAACAATATCTTCTTCTCCTTCAATAGTGTAGTTCTTTGACTTTGTATTCTTTAATTGATCAAGATAGTCTACTGCTTCCAACAATGGTGCTTTCAAAAAATCTTTGTTGTCATTCAATATATTCATAAATGTTGCCTATATTTATAATAGTTTTTTAGTTCAGTCTGTTCGGACGTCTCTCATTCTGCAGCAGAAGAAAGTATTGTTCTTCTTTCTGAAAGCGTTTCAAGGGACGAATTTGTTAATGAGCCATGCACCATACAGATAAATGATTTAAACACCTCTACGTACAAAATGATCAGTTGGAACATGGTACTTTTTTTTTCTTAAGTCGTGATTGTTGCAACAACTTTATGCCTTCCTTCGTCTCTCTTGCATCTTGATATGGGAACGTATCCTAATTGGTTTTACTTTTAAATGAACAAATTTTTTTCGCATGGAAAAGCTTTGAAGTGCTAAAAGCCGTTATAATTTAAAAGATACTCCTCGTTTTGTGTTTTACATCATTTTTGTCAATCTTTTCTCCGTTTAAAATTCATTCATTTACAGCCCCACGTCATTTGCAAGACGCAGCTTCCTCGTAAATTAACGTCATTTTCAGAATACAAGTTTGGATAGCTTAGCTAGGACGTACGCATTGTCATGGGGTTGTTCTGTTAAATGTGTTCGTTTTTCTGATAAAGATGGTCAGAATTTAGAAGTTCAAATGACGCCTGCGCAGTTACTTTTTAGTTCCGTTTCCGTTAATACTATTTTTGCTCTCAAAGTGGAAGATCTTGATCCAGAAAATCTGGTAACATTGAAATTATTAATAAATGGTCAAAAACCAGTGAAAAAGGAGTTCTTAAAAGTATGTATGTTTTGGTCTGCATATCGGTTTTAAACCATTAAAGCTGCTTTCACCCGAGAAACACTTCTTATTGGCTAATAGATACTTTTTTTCAAATAAGATTCAAAATCTAAGATAGAAAAATTATTTCTAAAAAATACTTCTTATCATTTCAATACGTATATTACTCTTCGATGTATAGGGAAAGTGAAAAGCCTACATTCTTTTCATTTGTGCTTCTAGTTTAAAACTTGATTCTTTCTTTTTTGTTTGAAGCTTTGTTTTAGACGATGAACTTTGGAGAAATAAGGAAGTTAATAGCAGAAGAACTTCGGCTGAATGACAAAAAAATCTTCTTAGCTTTTGATAACGACTCCATAGCAGATCATGAAACACCAGCTACATTAGACCTCGAAGATGAAGACTGCATTGATGTTTTTGGGTCCTAGAAATTCGATGGAGGTATGAGGACGCGGTATTTACATTCTTTAGTAGAATCCTGTAAAATTTTAGTGGTGCTTTATCTATTAATGAAACTACTGACTGGCATGACTTTGTTATGTACGTGCTGAAGGTTTCTACTACATTCTTCTCCAGTCCGGGGGATACGTTGCTGACTTATCAATAAGGATTCTTTGTCATCCTTTTCTTTACCTTTGTTTTTCAATTTATATTAACTTGTTTTGCTCGGAGACCATGTTTTATCTTACAGAATTATTATATTTGCGTGTTGTAAAAATAAGTTTCATCCTTTTCATTTGTTTACTGTACCTAAGCTATTTTTCAATAAAAAAAAGTATTAATTGCTTTACTTCCTCAGTTTATCTGCTGCTTCTCAGAGAAATATCTAAATTTCGGATATGCAAACCTTTACACTTATTATGCTTAATTTGTAGGGACTTTGAAGTCGGTTATGCGTTTTGCCTGCTTTCCTATTCATTAAAGATTGATGATCTCATTCTTCAGCGTTTTTGGTAGTTGGAGGCGTGTTGCGTTTCACCATTCTGTATTCTGGATATAGTTGGTCTTAATGTTTATGCAGAGATGTGGCAGTTATGTAGTTTTTGGACTCTGGCAGAAGTTTGAGCCATGTGGAACGTGTGGGGGCGTCTGGTGTTTTGCCTCGACTTCCAGCGCCCCAGATCACTATCAAACCCTTGGTATAGGGCGTTCGGCAACTGCTGCTCAAATAAAGTCAGCTTTTTATGAACTTTCAAAAAAATACCATCCTGATTGTCACTCGGGCGAAAAAGAAAAGACAGCTGCAGCGGAGAAATTCCAAGAAGTCAGAATTTCGTTCCCAATGTTTCATTTTCATTTTTTTGAGGTAGATTTGGCCGAAATATTTTTGCTTAACGGTGTAAGTAAAGAAAATCAGTTTCTAGGTAGTGCGAGCTTACGAAGTTCTTCGGTCTAAAGACAAAAAACGCGAATATGACGCAACACTAATCCAACGTCCAGTTGGCGCTAAAGGATTAAATAAAACCAGAACTAAATACCGTGGTTTTGCAGGCAAATCTTATTTGGACCTTGATGTAGATTACAAAACATTCGAGCATTTTCAGAGGAGTATGCGGTTCGCAGTTTTTATTGTCAATTTGTAGTTCCACTCGACGGCTTGAAAGAATTATTGATAGTCATTCGCCTCTTATCCAGGGACGCATGAGCGATTTTTAACTATCATATTATGGCTTTTAGGAAACGCCGTGTAAGCCGTAATTATTGTGAAATGCCTGATGAGTTCTACGCTGAGTTTGGAGGCCGCCAGTTTACTTCTGATTATAAAGGTCGCTGGTCAAAGCATACAGTCAAATCAAATTTCAGTGTACGTTAGCTGTTTTTCTACTTCAAATTAGCTACTCTTCATAGCCCTTTATTTCCGTATATTTTCAGGACAAACAGTCTGAAGAACGCGAGTCTGAGGAAAGACGAATTTGGAAAGAAACAGAAGAGCTTAAAAAGAAAACTAGTCACCTCCCACGCTTTGAAGACGTACGAGATGACCTAGTACGAAGAAGGATGATGCAGGAGTACAAAACCAGCATTAAGGCATTTTTTGCGATGCTCGTCGTCTCGGTGATTGCACTAGCCCTGCAGAGGCCTTAAAAACTGCTCAAACTAGTCACTAGAGACTATAGCGGAACCCTCCGAAAGGTTCTTTTGAATGGCATGTCCAACACCAGCGCGGATCCCCACCCCATACTTTTAGCATTTCTTTTAAAGTCCCAGCCTGCTCAATGTAAGTGTTGCAGGGCTAAGGACAATCCTAATAAGAGTTGGCGTATCCCGTTATCTTTAATAAATTAATTGACTGCTCGTCAGGCATTCCGACCTTTAACCAAGCTAACTGGCATTTTAAAAGCAATTTGCTCCCCACGAATCCCGACTGCCAACCATAGGCCTGTATCGAGTACCTCCCAGAAGCGCACCAACGGCAGGTCGAAATGAAAACAAGATTTATTTCAAAAAGAGAACACAATGAACTCGTTGAAGCAAAGCAAAGATAAGCATCAAACGATTGGACGGACAGCAGTACTATGGGAGCACAATCAACGTAAACAATCAGACACTCAAACATACTTGGATTTCGCAGTCATACATCACTCAGAACTCACAAACCTCGTCAATCACAAAATCTCAATAACATAAATACTACAATAAAAACAAGTTGGGGAAATGTTACAACACATACGCTGAGGGAATGGCGTTAAAAAAAGATATTACTCAGAGATCGTCGTCATCCTCAGGGAGTTCTGCACCGGCAGCGTCTCTTATTTCTTGTTCGTATTGCTGAATCATTTGTGGATCCAGTGTTATCTCCGGCGGTTTCAGTGCTGGCATGGCTACGAATTCAAGATTTGGGTCTCCAAGTAATTTGCGAGCCAACCATAAAAACGGCTTCTCGAAATTGTAATTACTTTTAGCGGAGATATCGTAATACTGCAAGTACCTTTGTTAAGCACGAGCTTCCCTTTGAGTAAAAGACACCAAAAGAAGCCGTAACCTCCAATCCTTTTTAAAAAACCACAGTTACAAGAAATTTCCACACAAATGACATTGCAAGGCCAAATTCTGATAGCAAACGAGTGAATATTAAACGAAAATCCCTTGGCTGAAATCTACAGAATTGCTCCTCTTATCTCGCACTACAAACTTTCAGAGCGCCATCCGATTCATTCTAGCAGGAGAAATCTGTGGCTTACATCCCTCAAGTCACAACTAAATCTAATATGCGAATAAAAAGACGACACAAAAAGAAGCAGATTCAGCTAATACACTCAACCACCACCAAACTCCGGTAAGGACGAAATAATTTTGAAAAAAGAAAGCTACAGCAGCTGAACTTAACAATAAGTAGCCCTCCCATTTGTTCTTGCACATGCCAATAATGGACCTTTTAAAAAACACTCACATTTAATACCTCTAGGAGAAAAAATTCAAAACAGCTGTCAAATCTATAGCGCCCCACACCACAAAAATAAACACTGACGGAAAAGAAATTTTACAGATTTCCAGCACATCAGAACCTGCAGTTTTGAACCGCAGATTTAAACATTTCTTCAACAGTAAACGTAAAAATACCTGTAGATTCTTCTTCCGGTGAAATGTTATTGTTTTCGCTTTCACCTTCCTGTCTTTCACATCCACTTTATTTCCACACAGTACAATGGGAATATTCTCACATACCCGTACTAAATCACGATGCCAGTTTGGGACGTTCTTATAGGTTACTCGAGCAGCAACGTCAAACATAATAATCGCGCACTGGCCTAAATTTTAACTAACCAGACCATCAGACCAATTTTGTAACAAAGGCCTCAAGAAAATACAAAAAAAAGTGATAAGTAAAACCCAACTAAATATACGGAAGCAAAACCAGTACCTTGAATATAATACCCATCTCTTAAACCACCAAACTTCTCTTGGCCTGCTGTGTCCCACACATTGAAACGTATCTGTCCACGGTTAGTATGAAATATTAACGGATGCACTTCAACACCGAGTGTAGCTAAACTTCACAGTTCAGAAAGAAACATAGGTTACCGATTCCGTTCATCCGTCAAAAAAAAAAAAAAAAATAAAATAAAAAAAACTGAACAAGACCTTACCAACATATTTTTTTTCAAATTCCCCAGTTAGATGACGCTTTACAAAAGTAGTCTTTCCCGTACCGCCGTCACCAACAAGGACGAGTTTAAAAGTCGGAATCTCATCATCAGACGCCATTCCGCAAAAGATAAACCTTAAAAGAAACCACGTGTATAACGAATATTACTGGGCGGCTGATCTACGAATTTGAAGCGATGGTCAGCAAATGAGTTTGAAGATATCGATGACAAACACGATTACACAAACTGTGTGAAGCGTTTAACAAACTAAACAAATCACGAGTTCAAGTTACAAAATACGGCTTCTTTTGCAAACTGTATTTAGTGCGCAAAATCACATCGTGCCCATACATCGGTTCTCACCGCAAACAAATAAAGCAAAAGTTTTTAAAACCCTTTAAAAAAAGTCGCGCACAGTTGTTACTGAGATCTTTCCTCGACAATCTTCATGCTTTAGAATCTCATTATTACCGAATAAATGGAAAACTATTTTACACGGATTTTTCAAATAATTCCACGAATAGAAATTACTGCTATGAAAAAGAAAGTTGTAGTTTAGGAGAAAGAAAAATTACCAAAAACAAAAAAAAACTACATACACAAAGCGCTAAACCACGAAAAAAAAAAATGTTTCGAAAACTTCAGTCAGCCGGAAAAAAAAATCGTAAAACAGACTAAACAGCCGTGGCGTGAAGTTCCAACAAGCACAAAGTCGCCATATAACATAAAAGCTTCAATCTATAAATAACTCAGCAGCTGCCCAACGACAATACGAAGGTGGCACCTGAAACTTGCCCTATCAGTGCAAACGGAACTTCGGATTCACAAATACTGCCCTACAACACCCGTAACACAACTATCTGACTTCATGCCAAACACGGATCCAAATGACCAACAGCCACAAAATAGCATTTGCGCATTAATGACCTACTGCAACCATCAAATCAGTTGCACTTAATCTTCCAAACAGGCGAATGAATAAATCTTTTGAAATTTGGGAATGCACGTACAACCAACAGTTTTGGCTTTATTTCCGCGAAATCCATACTGCGTAACTATAACGTGATTAACCATACAAATACAAGCAGCCACTTGTAACGCAATTAGTATTGATGTCAGGAAATGAAGCATTTTGAACGATGTTTATGTACATCAACATCAAACCTCAGCCGGTAAAGATATTGCCAACTTTGTAATGGAAAAATATGTACACACAGCAGTGTCGCCGAAAATAACCAGGAAAGTTAGAGAATAGGAAAAAAAAAAGATGAAAGCATAAACAATACATCTGGACGTAAGTCTTGACAATAACGAACACCCGGACACAGATATGAACATATACCCCTTCACAGATTGTGCTGCTACCAAATAGAATAAACTCAGCTCCGACAGCAGTTGGCAAACCCTATTTATAAATTCACGGAAAAACTATGGACAAAATACTGGGCTGCAGGTGATGCCAGTCGCACGATTCACGAAAAGTTTGCCGTAACCCTGACCTGCATAGTAATACGATTCAAATTTACACATTTGAATCGGCACTTCTGCGCTATTACTCCTCCAGCATACTTCTAACAACAGCCCTTGGGACACTACGCAGTCCTATGTGGGGTTTCCGAGTGTATTGTTCGTATACGAAATTCTTTCAAAATTAGATCCAATGCTACATCGACACAAACACATCATTTAAACGTTGGCAGAGGCCCAGTGAAGCCCAATAACGTTAGCCGATGGAAAGCGGCGCCAATTATATTGGACCTGTAGGGGTTAGTAGTGAAAGCTTCAAGTGCTGCTGAAGTTACCATCTTGTCGGAATATTTGCTGGAGAAACATCTGGAGGAAGCAGCTCACTTCTCTACAGCGCCTCTAAGAAGAATTTAGAGCTAGTTGAAAATGATCGAGTCTTTTTTGTTTGAATTGTAATTTCACACGATATTTGCCCGCCAAATTTCTTACTGGACGCTTTGTGGCGAGAAGCCACAGGCACGGAATAGTTTCTGGGAAGATCAAAGAAGTTAAGGGAGTATAGGATTCTTTGTGAAGAATCTCGCATTTGGCCTTTGTTCCGATGGCTTTTTAAGTTGTTGTGGTCTAACAGTTAAGCGGGGAAGGGTATGGCTGCATTGTTTTCGAAAGAAATTGGAATTTTCTTTCTGGCTTAACTCCAAAAGTGCCGCCAATTTTTTGAGATTGTTAGAGAAAAATCTTGATTGTTTATCGAAATGATTTACTTCTGGTCCCTTGAACTGTTAAATAAGCTTAAATGCGATCTGCAGTGCAGGCCTAACAAAGTGCTATCACTTGAATTTTGCTGGGGACCACGTTCGTTCTGTTTTTCTAAAGTGCTTTACAGGAAAAAGGACTGTTACGTAACACGCGACTTGAAAGCGGCACGTGAAAACAGTTTTCCAGTGTTGCACATCAAGAAGACAAAATGGCAATACGTAGCCTTCGATAACTGCTACACATTAAGCGAAGTTGGTGTAAAAATTCTGCTCTACTCTCGTCTTCCATTCACTTTTCTAGCATTTCTATAAAGCTGAACTGTTTTTACTGGGCAAGATCCCAAATTTCTAATTTGTTGTTTTTGGTTACAAACATTGCGGAAAGCGAAGCTTTGTCTTCATAGTGTAATACAGTTCTCTCAGTATTATATTTAGCATCTTTTTAAAAATGTTTCACAACTTTACGTCACCCGCGTGTGTATGAAGAGACAGGATTTTTTTGTGACGATCAGGAATGGTATTTGGCATAGTTCAGTAGAAAAACCATTTTCTGAAAGCGAATACAAACATGTTCTTCACAGAATTTTAGTACGACCTTTCGCCAGCGTCGTAAATCACTTTGATATTGGGGCGAGTTGGTGAGTCTGCTTTTTACCTCGTTTTGCAAATAACTAATTTTCAAATCAACCTTCAGTGGGAAGCTGGCTTTTCTTTGTCCAAGGGGTTGAATTCATTCTTCCGTTTCTTCTTATACTTTTCAGATTTTTCTTTGCGAAAACGTCTTCTAAGCTTGAGGGGCTGTTGGCAATTTATAGATGCACTAGACAGTTATCGAAAGTTAAACTGCATTTGATGTCTGTCATAACATG